GATGAATTCTTATCTGGTGCGGCATATCGGAAGAAGGTCCCGACTTTGTCCACAGACACGGGGCTCACTTGCTCCCAGCCGTTCACTCTCACTTGCAGCTGGTGAATCCGGAGGTCGTGGGTATGTCTGTGGGCAGAACATGGAGAAGGCCCTTAAGCACAATCTCATAAAGGGAAGAAAACTAGAAGCAAAGACTCAATCTGATTTACTATATAATGACATAAAAACCCAGCTGGCCAAGCCTTTTAGTGATTACCTAATGCGAGGGAATCAAGAGAATGGATTCACTGGGTTTTACACGTAAAACTGCAAGGTCTGTAAAGCCTGAGCAAGAGTGGCCCTCGCCCTCCCTTTGCACGAGCCACGCAGGCCCCGTACGCTCTCCCGGGGTCTTCCCCACTAACCCCCACCCCAGCCTTCATGAAACAGTGACATTGGCTAGAACCATTTCAGTGGGGTGGTATAAACGTTCTACCAGCAATTCGATCGTGTAATCATACTCTTGGAAACACACGAAACGATGTTTTCTTCTTGGTTCTTTTGCTGAATACCCTACTTCTCTCAGAACCACACTCAGCTCTGTGGCTCGGTCCTACATGGCTGCAGACGGCTCATGAGGGACAGAGCCCTCAGAGTTTGCGAGCTGAAGTGCTTGGCTGAAACTGGAGCAGAAAGCAGTGGGCAGAACAGGAGGAACGGGAGGAAATTGCACACTTAATTCCATTTTAGATTTTGCCTAATTCAAGCCAGAAGCCTGAAATGGGGAACTGGATTTGAGGCTGACAGGAAGGAGGGAGGGAGGCAGGGAGTGGGGTGCAGTGTGCCAAAGGCGGGAAAGCCAGAAAAGGCATTTGTTTTGATGAATTCAAGAACAGTGGGACTTGAAATGAGCCACAAAACATGGAATCTAAAACGGAAATGACAAAGAGGTCACACCCCTTCTGACGCAACAGGGGCAGTGCTTATTAAGAAATACAGCCCACAGTTCCATCGCGAGCTCCTCCAGGAACTGCTCGCAACAGGAAATGCTCGCCTCTCATCCCTGGACGTTCAAACATGGCTTCTGGGTACACGTACCCAGAACAGTGATTGCTTTAAACTATATCTTTCCTGCACAATCACTGAGGGCCCACAGGTTCGGAACATCTGCCACTGGGGAGAAAAGTGTGCTAGCAGAAAGCTATGCAAGGTGGGGAAGTGTCTGACACATGAAGGTTTGGACACAAAGACTTAAAGCATCTTGAAAGTATAAGGCTAAAGCCCATCTCCTACATTTCAGCTCAGCCTGAAAACAGGTATGAGGCTCAAATGCTCAAATCTTAACCTCTTCACTGGACAGCCCTTCCATTAAAAATGTTTGCAAAACAAGAAGCCTTTATTAGACAGTCTGTGATCTCTCGGGAAGCAGCCACGACCGCCTCTCACGTCTGCCCCGGTTCCTCGGCTGACTGTCGAGAGTGAGTGCGGCAATCTCCCTTAGAGGAGGGATTCCTACCCTCCTCAGAATCACTTTATCTGACCACTATAGCTCTGCTTTCTGAAAACATCTGTTTGCTCAAAGTGCTTTGTGGCTCAAATGCATCTTAAAATTGAAGTCAATGTGCTAACCTCTTCAGAATACCACGCCCCCAGTGCACCAGGAAAACCAGGCTGGGAGGCAGCGAGTTTGTGGGTTAAGCTCTGTCTATGCTTCAACAAAATTATGTGAAACACACACATCAAATAAAGAGATAATTAATGGGAAATAAAATGTATTTCCAAGAGAGCAATATAGTCATTTTATTGTTTAAAAGGAAACACTGATTTTCAAAACATCTCCTAAAAATAAATCATCAAAATCGTTAATAAAGGAACGTGAAAAGATAAAACACTAGGGACAATCATTATTATATATGAGGAAAAGAGCGGACCATGCTTTACCTGTGCCTTAGCTTTCCACGCGCTTCAAATTCAAAGGGAATCTCTTCACCTGTGAGGACTTCCCGCCATTCACTAACGTTGTGAGCATCATCGAAAAACGTTCCGTTCTCCTCTGGAACCAGCCCCGGACTCCCGCTGTGCGACAGCGCAGCCCTGGAACCAGATTAGACAACACCAGTTTGTCCCTCTTTCTCTCTAACTCCCTTCTGCCCAGAGCTCAGCGCTGGGAGCAGAAAGCCTCCTGGAACTGGACTCACAGTGAGAGGGCCGTGCGCCCTGGCTCCCAAGGATGATCTAAAAGGGCAGGAACGAAAGTTATCTTCATGCCCAGCCCGAGCTTATTTGACGCTTAGCTGAGAGCTACCACTACACACTGGCTTGCCTCCTGCAGTGGAGTCTGCTACATAGGGCGCTGTGTGAACTGAGTCATGACTTTTAAAAGTGGTATTTAAGTGACTAGGAGAAAACAGACCTAAACTGTTTTTTAAAAACAAACAACAAAAAAGGTCTCCTGTAAAGCACTGTCGTACTTAGTGGAGGAAAAACGTGGTTTCCAGTTTGTTCCGATACTCGTTCCACGCTCTCCGTTACCTAACCTGGGGGACCAGCTTGCGTTTGGGACGTGGAGCCGCGGTCCAAGCAGACAGAAAGCCGGCAGAGAGCGCCTCCCTTGGCTTGGGCAAATTCTTATTTGTTCTCCAAACTCCACCCAATTCCATCTGGACTAAAGTGTGTTTTAGGTTTGAAAGACAATCCTTATGGAGGGTAAAAGGAAGAAAATAAGAGAAGTTTTCAAAGCAGCCTTATAAGAAAAACATACAATGTTTGGGTTTAATAACCACATAGAGCTTCCTTTAAAGGGCGGTGGGGACTGAGGCGAAAACGTGGAATGACTTTTCTCTCACACCTCCCACTCACATCCTTCATTTGCTTGACTTTGACTTTAAACATAATGTCTATGAGGATCAGGATCAGGATCATAATCTGGGTATTTCAGACCCAAGACCTACTTTTCTGACTACAGATTCCACAGAGAGCCAGAGAGCAAGTTACTGATTCAAAGGCAATCCAAGAGCCTCAAGAGGGGGCTCACTGGGCTGGTACGCAGGAGAATTTGGTGGCAGAGATGGCTCACGGTGACAGGCCAAGTGTCCCTTACCTGGTGGGCGTGGTGGTCAGGGTGGCAAACCACAAAGTGCAGCCTGTGTGGTTCCTCAGGGCAAAAGGGACAAAAGGCTGCCGGCGCTTGGGGGTTTTCACCTCTGCTACGAACAAACAGAGGCGGCTGTTAGCATCTGCTCCATCTGTGTGGGAGAGAAACCTCCCTCCACCCCACCCCGCCCTGCCCCCCACACCGCCCCCTAAGACAGCACCCAAAACGGTCTCTCGGCAAAGGGGCTGAAGGAGGGGAAAGAGAAGGAATGACCACCGCTGTGCCCACCGCACGGATGGAACCTCCAGGTGCTCTGCTGCCTGCCACAGGGCGCCTTGGACCCCGAGAGCTGGCTGAAACGTGAGGCTGCCCCGTCCCTCAACTCGCCCACCGTCCCTATGGGCCCATCTCAGCAGGGGGCGTCGGGGCCTAACTTGGCTGGAATTGAAAGACGGAGAAAGAGAAGTGGACCCCTACTACTCCCAAGAAATAAACTATAGGTAACCCAAACTGTAGCAAGATAGCTCATACCTACTTGATTAAACTTTGTCCAGACAGCCTGCACTGTGACAAAGCCCCCCTCTACGTAAAAGTTACACTATACTGCAGTCGCAGTATTCCTATGATAACGAATAAAAACATTCTTTCCTATTTTCTTACACTAGTAGTTAAGGTTTTTTTTCCTCCCTGGAAGATCAGAAATATACTATCCCAAAGGCTTTTAAAATGAAATTTTTAGCTTGTTAGTTGGCGCAGGTATCACCACCATCCATTGTAAGGTAGGTACTATGGCGGCTACAAAAGGGACCGAAAATACGGTTTCTTTTCACAAAATAGCTTCTGATGAGGGAAACTGGAAAGAAACACTGATTGATACAAGACTGTAAGTAACCACATTCTAGAAAAAGTTGGCCTCACAATAAACACTATTAACAAAAGAAAATCAGAGAAGCGAGAGAGCACATGGCCAGCAGGAGCCGAAAGGCTGTCCGGCGGCCGGCCGGCTGGCTGCCGGGGATCGGCGGCTGCGCCCTGTCCCTGCCGGTGGTCTGGCGCCTCGCAGAGCTGCCGAAGGGGGGCCATCGGTCCCCCGACCCAGGGCCTGAGTCTCCCCTAGGGGCGACACGGAGAAAGGAGGAGGGGGCAGCGGCAACCCGCGTGCCGCCCGCAGGCCACTGTGCTCACGGCACACGCACACTAGCAACCAGAGGGGCACGGCCCAGCCAACTAGATGCCCCACTTTAAAGAACAAAGGCAGCCTGAGCAAGACCGGCTCCCAAATGGTCTGCAGCTGTGCAGAAAATGACATCTAGAGCATCAAGAGGTGACTGCGATTGCCGACTGAGCACATTATGGCAAAACGAAGTTCATCTTCCAGGCGCACACATTTCCTGCCGGCAAAACCAGAAGGTGGGCTGCGCCAGACCCTGCCTGCGCCAGCCCTGAAGGAGGCGGCGGCGCAGTGCCACAGGTCAGTGATCCTTGCTGCCTTTATTTGTTAATCTATCTAGCTAGCTAGCTAGCTATTTATTTTTACTCACGCAAGTTGACTTTTTTTTTTAATTGACTTTAAGTTTTTATTGTATTATTTTTTCCATTACCATTTAGCCCCCTTATACCCCGCCCCCACAATCACCACCCTGTTGTCCGTGTCCAAGAGCCCTTTTTCCTGTTACTCGATCCCCCGCCCCTAACCGCCTCGCCCGCTTGCTGTCAGCCTGCTCTCTGTGCTTGAGCCTGTCTCTATTCTGCTCGTTAGGTCAGTTTGTTCACTAGATTGCACATAGGAGTGGGATCCTATGCTATTTGTCTTTCTCTGACTGGCTTATTTCACTCAGCATAATGTTCTCCAGGTCCATGCATGCTGTCACCAAGGGTGTACAGCTTTCTTCTTTTTTACAGCCCAGTAGCATTCCATGGTGTAAGTGTGCTCACTTCAGCAGCACAGATACAGAAGTTGGAACAGTACAGAGGAGGTTAGCGTGGCCCTGCACACGGATGCCACACAAATGCGTAAAGTGTTCCATATTTTGGTGCTCGCGCCACTGCCTTCAAAAAAGTAAGCATTTCCCTTTTTAGCCTCTGAAGTTTTCAGAAGTTAGTACTAGAAACACTGCAAAACAAGCCAGTGCCGGTTCAGGCAAACTCTCCTTTGGCAACAACAGCAGCCCCAGGGAGCTCGGGAAATGCTACCAGCAGCAGCCCCCAGCGTGTTCCCATACTTCCGAGCTTAGTCTTTAGCGATGCCCCAGAATTCTTCTAAAGGGAGTCTCTGCCCACAGCATACCCGCTTCTCCTCCCCTTGGCCTCACGTAGTCCCCAAGGTTTGCTTTAAAGAGAAAAATAATAATGTTCATCAAGTAGAAAATTACGGAGTAGCTGTGAGGCTGCTGACAAGAGCAGAGGGGGAGTAAAAAGTTTAAGAGCTGTCTGCAGGGTAAACAGCACTTATTGTGGCACCTTGAAAGGCACCTCCGCTCCGTGAGTGCAGGGAGCGAGCTGCTTTATTACAGGAGATAAAGGCCCCAGAGGAAAAGAAGCCAGCTGTGCTTTCATATCCCGCTGTGAGCCAGACTGTAAGTTTCCATTTGCAAATTAGATTTAAAAAGAACAGGTGGCAAATGGCTTTGATCACAGTGTAATGCAGAATAAAGTGCTAGGAATCCACATAAAGATACTCACAAGTATATTACTCTGGAATTAAATAGCCTGGGAAGGCATGCTGCTCAAGTCCCCAAGCTGCTCGTTCTGATCACACAGACCAGCAGAGACCTCAGCAACCAAGCGCCTTCTCTGATAACAAAAATACATGGAGTGCTCACAAGGCCAGCGCCAGCGCCAGGGGACAAATCTGACATCTCCTGCACTAGGGGCCAAAGCAGCTACGGATTTGCCTCTGGCACAGCACCAGGAGCCAAATTCCCAAGTCCGTCAAAGAGAACGGTGCTCTCTGGTGGCCTCGGAAAACCCGCCCCCAGCGAGCCACCACACCAGACGTCTTCACAGGCTCAGAGAACATGAAGCTCCTCACGTCCAACCTCAGCCTCCAATGGCTCCAGCTGAGGAAAACTCTGCCCCTTTGGACTTGTTTCACAGAGTGATTTGGCCATTATAAACAGTGCAGGTTTTCATGCTACATAAGCAGCTCACTCTGTCAGAAAGGACTTGCTTTGTAAATCGTAGGAAATAGAGGAACATCCCAGGCCTGCTACTAGCCAGTCACATGAACGAAGGCCAATTACTCGTCTATCTGCGGTTCTCTGTCCCGGTCAGCCAAACGGGGACAATACTCTGCTCAGCCTAAAAGATCCCCTATCAGCCATAGAAAAGCAGGGTATAAATCCATGAATAAATGAAGATTCAATCATAGGCTTCCTTTCAGAGCCATTCCCTAAATATCCACGTCGGTAAAGCCTTCCAGAAAAAAAAAAACCCACAGGACTGTCCAGTGTCATAGTACCCATGTCCTGAACTCCTGGCAAAGGAAGCTCAAGTGGCCTATTTTTACCAAAGATGCCATGGCCCATGCAAGGCCTGTTGTTAGCCAGGAACACACGTATCGGTCCGATTACATGTGCTCCGAACGAACGGAGACGTGTATATCCTGTGATCCCAATTCCTGGATGTGTGTGGCGTTGTCTATAATATCTACTGACCAGTCAAATCCTCAAGGAACCTTAAAGGGTCGGAGAGAAATAAAGGACGTTTCGTCTCTCCTAAGCACCAGAGTCCTAGCTAAAGGAGTTAAGATTTACATCTAAAGGAAATGCTTCCTTTGCTCTACTCCAGATCATTGGCGTTCCTGCCCCGCAGAGCCCTGTGCGTTAGCAGCCAAACGTTCACTGAGTGTGTCATAAACAGGCTGGTAGCGCTGCTTGGTGGAGGCTGGTCTCCTTCCACTTACTTGCTTTTCAGTATGAGAAATCACCTACCTGATGCTGGGTATTTCTGCATTACACACTGGAGTTGATACCATTTCTACCGAGGGTTAAGGTAAATGCAAGAGGTAGCATATGAATCAGCACTTCACTTCCCTCTGATGAAAAGCGTCACTCTGTTTATTAGTTTGAAATTTTCCTGCTGCTAAACCAAAGTATTCCAACCTGAGTATGCCCCCATTCCGCTCCCAGTCACAGAAAATCGATGTGCAAGGCAGTTCTTAAAACAGGAAACCAAAGCGAGCCCTCGCTTGGCTGTACTGTACCTCTAGCATAGATCTGGTGCTCTAGGTTAGTCAGACTGGCTGTACTCCTAGTTCTAAGGTAGACAAGGGGGAGGCCTGGTAGACAGGAGAGACAAAGTTAGAGCGTGAGAATAAACACAGTGAATAAGAAGACTCACCTCCAAAGCATAAGCACAAACAGAGCCCATTACAAAGCAGCAGCAGCATGCAGGGGCAGCATCGTTCCCCTCAGCGAGGACTGAGAGCACAGGAGGCACGTGACAAAGTGAGCGGGACAGTCTTCCCGCTGGCTTGGGAATTATGGAGGCAGTATCCAAGAGGCATGCTCCTTTTTTCTCTCAATTGGGGAAAGAAAACGTATTCGACATTCTTGTGAACAGAATGACAAGCCTCTTGAGGATTTTTCGTTTAAAGCATGAATGTTCTTAAACGTCACAGGAAAGTCACCAGCACCAGCGAGAACGGATTTGCGTGGGAGCTGCTCCGTCCCCCTCGGCAACGCAGTGGCAGCAGCATGCTGATCACTCGGGGGTCCCAAAAGCCCCAGGGAAGAGTCAGTCTGTGTTCCCATTTTAACTGTCTTCACTGAGGAGCTACCTCGTAGTATAGTTACATTATAAATTAAACATGGAAGTTTTTTAGAATATTTCTATCCCATACAATGTCCTTGGGATACAACACTAGTCAGCCAGGTAAGGGGCCACGCCACCCAGGTTTGCCTGCAGTCTCAGCCCTTACTGAACAAAGCCGACAATTATGTCAAAAACGAAGCTGTTATTTCCTTTCCCCTACTAAAGAAATAGTGAGAAATCAGCAGCTCCCTTAGGCTGAATTTCATATTAAGAATCTCTATTCTAAGCGTTCCCATTGAAACCGTCCTGAATAAAATGTACAAATTTAGAGGGGGAGAGGGGGCGGAGAATATGACTAAATATTCATGAATAAGACCGGGAGGTCTGTGGTCAGTTCAACAACTGACTTTCAAAACAAATGCCCAACAATATTTTAGTAGGTCTATTAAAATACAATCCCATCTGATTTACTACCACCCAGGAACTTCTAATAAGAAAAGAGGCTTGGAAATTTAGATATATTGTTATGTCTAATTAAAAAGAAACACTACACCTTTATATGCCTAAGTAACTAGATCTAAGTAAATAAAACCAGCTTTAGTTTAGTAGAGGCATTTAACATAAATAAGGCAGCTTATTAACTTTAAAGAAAGAGGAGAACTTTTTTTTTTTAAGGGCAAGGGAGGAAGGAGAGGGACGAGAGAAAACCCTCTCTCAGCACCCTGTGACTGGGCCCTCCTCGGTGTCCCCGCTGCCCCTGGATGAAGGTCCCCCTGCATGAATGCCTTTAGAAACACACACGCCCTCAGACACGTAACACAGTATAAAGGTTACTTAGAGTCTTCTGGATAGAAGGCTATGTTACATTCTCTTGAAACACAAATCGGGAAGGGTGAGGAGGAGCCGAAATTGCAGCTGATGGTATCTGAAAGGCCCTGGCTCCTCAGCAATGGCCTTGGGACTCAGAGCCACAGCCTGGGAGTACTGAGAGCAGGCGGCTGACATTTCCTGTCCCTCCTTCTGGAAGGACAAGGCAGATAGCAAGTCCATTTATACACGCTGAGGAGAGATGAACCAGTTCACATACTTCATACGCTACGAAAATCCATCCTCCCGTGACACGTTTGCAGACCAGATGGAGTATTTAAGTATTCATGAGCTATGTGAAGTCCAGCCAAGCCTCCCCAAAGAAACCACACTGAAAAAGCTGGGGCTGAGCTGAATTTGAATGACAATGGCTTGTGGACAACTAAGAGCCATGCAGTGAGCCGTCACAAACTCCCCAGCTCTGAGGAAATCAGAGCTCCACGGTGAAGCATTAAGTAAGAAAGAAAACATCGTTAACAGAACAAATGGACTCCTCTTTCTTCAAGAGGCTGGGTATTCAATTCTTACATACTTGGTGAACAATACAGGGAACCCCATCTAACAATTTTTCCACGTGGAATATCCTTCCCTCCCCCTCTTTAAGAATATATATCCAATCTTTAGACTGAGAAGACTGAAAAGAGGTGGTTAAAATTCCAGTCAAAAAGCTCAATCTACAGGAACGTCTGGCCAAGTAAACACAGACCGAGCGGTGGCAGGTCCCGAAGCATTTTCAGATGCACCAGTTCCTGCGCAAAGTTACCAGAATTTAGGAATTGCGCATTGCAGATCCTTTCTCTCCCACAAAGGTGAAAGTGGAGCTCACATTAAAAGCTGAGTATTTTGCGCCAGAGAAATGTATCTCATAAAGACTAAAACAGAACTATAGAAGATTGTCAGATTTCCTGTTGGTTTTTCCATAGAAAATTATTTTTGATTTCTCAATCAGTTAGGGCTCTGTAGGTCAACTGCAATTCAGTCAGACACTTGCAGAGAAAACCTTACTTTGTCCAAAGCACGGAGGATCCACTGAAGAGCCCATCCAGTCTTCTGACATGGCCGAGTCCACATCCTTGTCCTGCTTACAGTAATCTGCCATCCACGACTCCTTGGTACTCACATACTGGTCTAGAAAAAATTCCCCAGAGACATTAAGAACAGAAGTAGAAAATACTGATGGTTCAAGTCAGATAATGTCAATTCAGCAAAACAAGCTGTTACCAAACACCCCGCTACCTGCCAGGCGATGTGCTCACCTCCAAGCACGTCTGTCCCCTGGAACCCACGCTCCTTGGGAAGAAATTAGCGTTAACGACACAACGCTTACCGCAGAAACGGCACCACGATGTGAGAGGAGCTGGAGCCAAGACCAAAATGAAAGTCACAGGAGCCCAGAACCAGGGAAGGTTTG